CCTAAACCTAACCCTAAACCTAACCCTGAACCTAACCCTAAAACTAACCCTAAAACTAACCCTAAAACTAACCCTGAACCTAACCCTTACCTTAACTTAAATCACGCTGTTGTCGGCGTGCTGTTGTCGGCGCGCTGTTGTCGGCGTGCTGTTGTCAGCGAGCTGTTGTCGATGCGTTGATGATGTCGTGGTTTTCGCACCGCGGTTTCATCGGCACGCTTTTGTCGTGCGCGCATTTGTCGGGTCACACTTTTTCTGCCTATTGCTTTTTTATATTAAACCGGGAGTTTGAGATTAATGGAAAAGGGTTGCAGAACCAACATTAGACATTCTGGTATCCTACCAAATTATACCCACAATTCTCTGCTCTATTCTTCCCAGTTCCATTCTCTCCCGGATTCTCATTGGCTTGATGGATAAATTGAATGACCAGTTCAGTGGCGTTCTAACAAAGATTTTTGTTGGATTCATATTCGGCCATTAGGTGATCGAATGTTGGTTGGATTAAAAAAAAATCCCGTGGTATAATCAAGGTTGGATAACCACAGATTTCCAATCCTGCATCTTGCATTTAACTCAGCACTCATCCGTATTTTCTTGCAGAATTATGTTCCCTCTTTTCTATTATGATAAAAAGAGTGTCCCAAATACTTCTGCCTTAGGTTCTCCTGCTTTTAGTGAAAATCCCCAATCTCCCATCTATTTTCCCTGTTTGCTTACACACATGTTTTCTTTATTCTTTACTTAACAGCGTGAGAAGGCTGCTGTTCATCAGCTGGAAGAAGAATATGAATATCTCTTGGTAAGCTATTTTTTAATTTTATTCTTAAAACACATGTTTTGCCTAGTTATTAAGGTAAATATCAGCATCAGGTTTGCATTTAGGTTTAAGTAGGAAGGAAAATTCGTACATTTTTCTCATACGAGGTGTGATTCCAAAACCAGGGCATCATTTGACTTCCGTAGAAATATTGGAGTTGAATAAGGAATACAATGTTAGATATATTTTTTCTCCTCTTCAGTCCAGCAATATGTGCTGAAAATATCCTATTTATCCTCTTTAGGAAAGAAGAGTTATATACAAATGAAAATAATATTTGCTCTTTTCTATCATCAACAATGTAAAATGGTTTTAGAAATATTCTCTGATCCTTTATTTGCCATCTTTTATCCTCCTAAGTGATAGTTTAGCAAACATAATGCCAGATTGAGATGTATTCCACTGTCCTTTACTTATATTTCTTAGCCAAAGCTAATCTTCCCTGGATATTGTGAGATAAAATGGAGGAGGAGAACAACATCTATATGTCCCTATGTTTCTTAGTGAAAGACGTAAAGCATATACAATAAGTAAATCAATTTCATAGTAGACTGGAACCTTTTTAAACAGACACCTGCATTTTGATAGAGCTTCCAGATAGAAAAGTTTGCTAAAAGCTTTTTTTTAAAAAACTTCAAAAATGATCTACTGTAGCAATTCCGGTCAGTCAGTCATTTTATTTCAATCACTGACCAGCAAAAGAAATATATTCATGTGAGGGGCGAGGAGAATCCAATTTTAACTATTGACTATAAATACAGCTACTCTGTGTCTAAAGTCTGTTAGCAATACTTGTTGAAATTTCTACCTGGCAGCTTGTCCTGTCTTGGAAAGACGGAGCAGAATTTTGATTTTTCTTGTAAAATGTCAAGAAACCACGGTCTGGACATGTCTGGGGTATATTAAGCATCTTGGCCATTTGTTTTTATTTATTTATTTATTTGTTTGTTTAACTTGTATGCCGCCCACTCTCGGAAGACTCAGGGCGGCTTACAAATAAAGGGGGGGATATAAAAATAAGAAAGCAACAATTAAAAATACNCTGAAGTGGCCTGCAGTACTGCACCCTAACCACTGTGCCACCTCGGCGCAGAGCTAAATATGCAAAGCTAAATGCAAATATGAGGGGCCCATTGCTAATTTTCAAAAGCACACTTTAGAACCAGCTACTGTAACAGAAAAATGTTAACCTGTTAAATCGTAATTAACACGGATCCTTAATGTTGGGCCATTTTGGATTTGTAGAGGAAGCTTTACATTCTCCACATAGTGACCAACTAGTCAACTAGTAACTGTAAGATGAACAATAGGATAAAAAATGCTAAGAGGAAGATATTTTTCTTTGTGCATTCTGGTTTTCATTGCCTTTCCTCAATGGGGCTTCTATAAGCAAACTAGGAAAAAACGACAAGTCAGATTTTATTAATAGGCAAAGCAGAAATCCGGTCATGGATGTAGACTTGATTTTTGACTCTTGGTCCCTTCCAGCTAAGGTAGATAATTTTGAAGATTAAAAAAATGAGTTGCAAGCCGAAAAATAAACCAAATTACATTATCAGAATTCAGAACCAATGGCAATTTGTTTAAATGTGCAGGCCTATATGGATACATTACAAACTCAGTGGAGTTGGATTCTTCAGATCACCAAGTGCATTGATGTGCATCTCAAGGAAAATGCAGCCTACTTTCAGGTATGTATTGGTTTACAGAAGCTATAAATAATTTATAAAAGTACTTTTTATCATTTCAACCCATATTGGCTCTGTTTAGTTAGAAAAATGCAGATAAATTAGATTCTAACCAATAATTGTGCGTACTAACTGTCTTAATGTAAGCATTTTTAATTTGGCTTGCAGTAATGATGACTTGGGGGGGACGCAATGGCTCAGTGGCTAAGACACTGAGCTTGTCGATTAGAATGGTCAGTGGTTTGTTGACGCATAACGGAGTGAGTTCCCGTTACTTGTCCCAGCTTCTGCCAACCTAGCGGTTCGAAAACATGTAAAAATGCAAGTAGAAAAATAGGGACCACCTTTGGTGGAAAGGTAACAGCGTTCCATGCGCCTTCGGGAGTTGAGTCATGCCGGCCACATGACCACAGAGACGTCTTCAGACAGCGCTGGCTCTTCGGCTTTGAAAGGGAGATGAGCACCGCCCCCTAGAGTCAAGAATGACTAGCACATATGTGTGAGGGGAACCTTTACCTTTAATGATGACTTGTGGAATATAGCATCTAAAGGTAGATTCAGTTTTTAAAGATTATACAGTGGTACTTTGGAACTCAGCTGCTTTGAAACTCACTGAATTTGGTACTCAACAAACTCACTGTTTGGTACTCAACACACAAGCTAGAATTTGTTGGTGTCGGCTGCCTTGTGACTCATTACATTATTCCTTATGGAAAAACATTGTTTACTACTCATCATTATTAGTACACAATGTGTCTCCTGGAACCAATTCACATTGAGTACTGAGGTACCACTGTATATAACACAATAATACAACAATACAATAGCAGAGTTGGAAGGGACCTTAGAGGTCTTCTAGTCCAAATCCCCTGCCTAGGCAGGAAACCCTATACCATTCCAGACAAATGGC